CTACTATCTTCGAGTGTTCATGAAAATTGTTGACATTTACTTCCATTATTTGTAGTCTTTTTTTTTTCTTATCGTGTCCTGTGGGTTATGATACAGATACCATTTTAGGATCGAAATCTCTTGGGCTTAGACGCTTAGTGGACCGACTTCTGCAGCTAACAGTATTAAGTCAATATATGACAAAAATATGACATTTGATAATATAATTATTCAAATATAATTATGCATTTTTGTCTAGTAATATAGCGAACAACTGTTAGATTAAGTCAACTCAAACAAAATTTGTATTTTCCAATTGTATTCAATATATAAATCAAATTATATTTATATGATTCATATCATCAAATAATTATTCATTCTTTTTTTTTTTCCCCTAATTATAGAGGGACCAAAATACTTGTGGGACTTGATAAACGGCCGCAAGTCTCTCAATTCAGATGCACCCGCAGGACCTAACAATGTTGGACTTTGACCCGATCAGGCATTGCTTGACTGTCCATTTTTTCTTCTTGCTACCAAAATCGGAAAATGAAAGCAAATCACATTTTGGTACCATGTGAAGGTCAATATTAACAATAAATGTAAAAAACCAAAATGGTCCCAAAAATCAGTTTTTTTAGACCGTTTATAGAAACACAAGTTATAAGCTTTTAAAGTAGTTCTTATCCATTTAATTTGAGACAATTCTTATAACTTATGTCTATTTTACAAATTTTATTTGAAGAGTTTGGTAATGGAAAAGATTTCGTATTACAAATTGCATGTTAAATTCAATGAAATGAATTATGGACTAGAACATGATTTTGAAACAAAATATTTCTATCCTAGTTAACTAAAATCTGACATGGCATTGACGTGGCGTAATGCCATGTCAAATTTTCGTTAGGTTTTGTTAACGCAACCGTCATTCATGTATCGATTTGCGAAAGTGGTAAATGTGGTGTATTAATTTGTAAAATTTCATAAGTGGTGATTAAATTCTAAAAATATGAAAGTTGGTGTATTAACATGCAATTTTTACTTTATTTAGTTTGTATAAAGTACAATTTATATGAAATCGGCCAATTTTTTATTTACTTATTATTCTGTCAAGCGAAAAATAACTCAATTCACCGCCTGAAATAATGAATACATAGCAAATGAAATAATGAATACATAACAATGGTTTGATTTGTTTATTTATTCTGTACACATTAAAGGACTACTTATTCACTCGATCAATATATATAATAGAAGAATGAAGTTTGTATTCACTCGATTCATTTATAATAAAATGAGTTATTACTTCCTCCCACCTTTATTCACTACCAACCTTATTCACTTGATTCATATATATAATATATAAAATAGAATGAAGTTTGTATTCACTAGATCCATATATAATAGAATGAGTTTGTATTGCAAGAGCGCTAGTATTTTTAAATTTTGGTATTTTTGAATTTGAAATCGAATTAGTATTTATGAATTAGTATTCCAAAATGTCATGTCTATTAATATTACTATCAAATAGATTTTCAACACGTTAATAAAAAAATATTTCATAAATAAAAATAAGATTTGTTATGCAATTCAATAATTTTATAGAGGATGAATCCACTTAAAACCTTTAAAGACTCATAGAGTGAATCTAATTGAAACTTTTAAAAACTCTTTAAAATGAGTGACATTGATGGAGTTTGTGAAACTTTAATAGCTTTTGTGAACACTTTGAGATTAATTCCATACAATGTTCATCAGACTTTTTAAAACTTCCACGATACATATATATATATATTTATCGTGCTTATGTACTTGTAGTATAACTACACAAAATGTTAATAAAATTTGCTCACAATCAATATTAATAAAACTAAACTACTTTTACAAAAAAAATATATTAAATTGAAATGAGTACACATAGTAAACATCAGATAACCAACGAGAAGAAAGAAAAAACTAAATTTTTGCAGCATTACACTTAGCAACAAAACTAAATTTTTGCAGCATTACAAGATATGCTCCAAAATACTTGCTCGAAAAATTAGCGAAGTTCTTGATATTATTGTTGATGAAGCTCAAGCCGCGTTTGTGAAGGGGAGGAATATGACGGACAATATTCACCTCATGCAACAATTACTCCAGCAATATTTGAGGAAAAGAGTATCCCCGAGATGCTTAATAAAGATCGACCTCCGCAAAGCATTCGACTCCGTCTCGTGGGCCTTCTTGAGGCAAATACTTGAGGGCTTAGGCTTCTCATAGGCTTTCTCCAAGTGGGTCATGGAGTGTGTCACCACACCCACATACTCCCTATCCATCAACGGAAAGGCTATTTCAAAGGTGCTCGCATACTAAGGCAAGGTGAACCGCTCTCTCCTTTCCTTTTCGTTCTTTGCATGGAATACCTCTCTAGACTCATCAAATGCAACACGGCGGATGAGCCGAAATTCAAATTCCATCCTATGTGTGAGAAGCTAAAAATATCCCACTTAGTCTTCGCCGATGACCTCATGCTCCTCTCCCGGGGGGACTCGGGGTCAATCCAAGTGCTCATGATTGCTTAAGAGACTTTGGGGTAAAATCGGGGCTCGAAATGAATGTGCTTAAGTCCAATATCTACTTGGCCGGTATTAAAGAGCAAGACCGGGAGTCAATCCTTGATGACACTAATTTGAAGAGTGGGCTTATGCCATTCCGGTACCTTGGAGTTCCCCTTACTGCCGATTGAATCACTGGGAGGCTATTTCACGAAATGATTAATCAAATTGATAGCCAACTTAGTGGGTGGAGGAGCCATAGCCTCTCTTATGTCCGTAGATATATGATTGGAATTAATTAGATCGGTCATTCAAGGCATTGCTTGCTTTTGGATGGGCATCTTCCACTTGCCGGGAATTGTTCGCACCAAAATCATTCAACTTTGTAGGAGGTACTTATGGGGTTCCAAAAAATCCCCCGTTGCTTGGGATACTTTGTGTACGCCCCGATCGGAAGGAGGATTGGGGCTTCGGGACTTAGATGCTTGGAACCGAGCCCTCCTCGTGAGGACTCTTTGGAATATGCAAGCCAAGAAGGACTCTCTATAGTACAAATAGATTCATAACATCTACTTAAAGGAGAAAACAATTTGGGATTGGCAAGTATACAAGAATGACTCCCCTCTCTTTAAAAAATCTCTCTTTGAAGTCCGACAAGGCTTGATAGAGAAAGCGGGTAGTGTTCGTGGTGCGGAAGGCCTTCTCCGTACTTGGAGCTCTCGTGATAAACAAGATGGTACTAGCAAGTGCTATGATTTCCTCCGTCCTAAAAGTACCGAGAAGCCATGGACCGGGGTTGTTTGGGGGAGTTGCAACACCCCCAAGCACTCCTTCATCTTATGGCTTAGAGTGATGAATAAACTCCAAACGAGAGATCGCCTTGAGTTCCTCAATGAAGACTCGACTTGCCCCCTTTGTGGAGTCGAAAACGAATCCTCGAAGCACCTCTTCTTCGAATACCCCTTTAGCTCGGAAATATGGAGTGAAATTCGAACTTGGGTGAGCCTCCGACATAGGCCAATCACACTCAAGGGCGCCCTTAAATGGACCAAAAAAAAAAGGAAAACGCAAGTCTTGGAGAGCCAAATTGAAGAAAGCGGCGCATGCGGCAACCGTGTACTTTATTTGGAATGCGAGAGACTGGTTGATCTTTGAGAATGAAAGCCAACCTCCAAGCCTCGTGATTAGAAAGGTAAAGACTCATGTCTATCGATCTATCTTTGCTATTTACCCGAGTGTTTTGGCCAAATTCGAGAGGAGGTGTCTCGGTAATTTTTGAGTTGGTTGTTGTGAAGTGTGGTTGCATTTGGACGATTTTGTTACGCGAGTGAGCAACCGGATTGTGGTTGTCCTCGTTATTTTTGTTCTTGCGAGTAAGGAGCCGACTTGTGGTTACCTGCTACGCTCTTGAAAGCCGCTTTGGTTGTATGACTTTACATTTTGATCAATATAAATTTATTTAACGATAAAAAAAAATGAATAAAGGATCCCAAACGTTTGTCGAGGTTGCTGGTGTGGTGTTAGGGGAGATGGGTGTTGGTCTCCGCGTGTTGTTTTCCAGTGTGGTCCGTTGGAAGGAGGTCTCTAATTCGAGACCAGGTAGCCTTAGCCTAATGAGTTATGAAGTTCTTTATCTGTGTCGAGATCGTGTTCTTGTCTTTCTTGGATTGTTTTCGGTTGTTGTTCTCGCTGGTGAGGATGAGAGGTGTTGGTCATCAGTAAGAAAGGCTTTATTGTATCGATTAGGTGTGTGTTTTAGTTGTTCGTCAATTTTTTTCTTCTAGTTTTTTTAGGAAAGGAGAGTAGATTCAACTCTTGTGTTGGTTCTAGTAGTGTTTAATGACATCTAGGGTGTACTCATTTTGAATTTATTAATTTTAATTATGATTATAGTTTGACAAAAGAAAAGAATAAATTATAAATAACAATTTAGCACAAGAATGAATATCTTTTCTCACAAAGCTTGAATTGCAAATGTTTACAAGAAAAGCCAATGAAAAATTGACAACAACCAAAAAAACAAAAAAAAAGTTAATTACTTTTCTCTATTCTTCAATATATATCCCCCAATAGCCCAGAAGCCACTCAACCTTCCAATTACAAAGCTACAACAGCCAATAAAAAGATCCAATCCATTCACAATAACTCAAATCTATTCCCCCTTAATCTTTTGCTATTAAACAATTCTATTAATAAGAATCAAGCTTTCATTAGACAAAAA